CAGCAGAGCTCATTAGCATTTAAAGCGGCATGCAACAAAACCGCTTGCTCTGAAAAGAGCCGTTTTAGACCGGATAAAAAGGGTGTTGTTTTACACTACCATTGAGAAATTTTAACCAAAGTATGTTATAAACTTTTCATTAAGACCCTAAAGAATCATATCCGATGACCCCTTTAAGAAATTATTACTTTTATTTAGCAAGGACGCATTAAATGAATTAAAAGTGACAAGTAAAAAAGTAAAAGGTTAAAAAAGATTTATATTCCAAATAAAGTACTTTTGAACTTTCTATTCATCAAAACATTCAGGGAAAAAAAGTAACTCTGTTGCCACAAAAAAACTAAATTGAATAAGTATTTGCTTAAAATTCAGCATTGCCACCAAAGGAATAAATTACATTTTAACATGTATTAAAATAGAAAACAGTTGAAAATTATGATAACATTTCACAATATTGTTGTACTGTATGTTTGATCAAACAAATGCAGCCTTTATGAGCATAACAGACTTCTTTCAAAACACTAAAAATTTTAACGACTACAAACTTTTGAATGTTAGTGTAGTTAAATAGCCTGCTGGGAACATCAACATCCCATGTTGTAATCCAGCAACTGAAGCACAACTTACATGCTGATGTCCAACTGTACGAGTCTTTTCAGCTGGGCATGTGTCATAAAAAATTAACTCATGTGCCAATATTAGTCCAACATTCGATGCTCTGTATGCACATGTGACCTTTGACCCACAGCGAGTTAATTAAATGCCGTTTCTCTTGAGGTTTGAGCCTGATATCCTGCTGCGAGCCAAACAGGACTTCATGAAAACTGACAGTGCGACAGATCTGGAGTGAGTGTCTTTAAGATCATTCATGTGAGACACAGTGTTTTTTAACTAGTATCAGCATGCTGTACCTTTACTCTATCTCAGGTATATGAAAGAACAAAGCCAGGCTCCCAAAGAACTCTATCCCGAGAGAGAGCTCGTCATTGAGAGGGAGTATCAGAGAGTCGCCATCTCTGGAGAGGAGAAATGTGGGGTAGCAACAGCTCTGTTTTTCACTTTACTGTTTTGTTTGTTATACAAAAACAAGATGTTGTTGACAGAACTGAAGTGGACACTACAGACATTACATAAACTCCTGAGGGAGAACCAAGTTTCACACATCCACACACAAATACACAAACTCTTGAGGGAAGCATGAGGGGACCGCAACACAGCTGAGGGGTTTTCACAAGAAAAAGAGGAGCTGAAAGAGGGAAATACAGAATGTTAATAGTAAAAAAATAAATAAATAAAACATTTTAGAACTGCTTTTTACTTTTTTTCACCTAAAATTCTGTGTATCTGGAGGAGAAATGGACTTCTGCTACAACCACTATACTGTAAAACTGTCTCCTGAGAAAGGTTAGAAAGATGTAAATCGATTTAGGCAATCACCTGCAATTTTACTGGTGTTCAAAAGATCAGCTGATACTCAGAACAACAATACAATTACAAACGTGATATTATTTTAAAATGAGTTCAATTATTAAGAAGTAAATATTCAGTAACTTTCATTTCAGACACAATATTGTGAGTAACTTTTTTTTTTTGTTTTGACAAAGAAATTTGTTTTAAAGTCAAAGCATTCTGCTGAGCATCTCAAGCATTTACCAGACAGACTTTAAGAAATGAGGTTTCATTTTTGAATGAATCGGTGTTTTTAAACTAATCGATTGAGTGAAAGATTCAATGATTCGCTTAAACTTGTTTTCTCCCTGAATGAAACATGCTGCTTCCATACTATATAGTATGCAGAAAACAGTATGCCAAAAGAGTAGTATTTATGAATTCATATTGTTCTAAAAGTAGCCAAATTACCACATTCGATGAACACTTTACTATCCCATGAAGCGACGGGACAGTATTTGGCAATGAAGCATCACAACTGACACTGGTAGGTCCCATGAATTCACAGAACACAATTCACAGAAAACAAAGTTTATAGTTTTTTCAAAAGCTCAGTCACAAGTACTTGATAATCTTAGTATTTTTACATCTGATGGTAAAATTATTGAAAGAGTACCTTCTTACAAGTACTTGGGTATTTGGATTGATGATAAACTTTTGTTCAGTCTAATCTAATCTAATCAGGAAGCTCAAACTAAAGCTAAATCTAATTTTACTTTTAATGCCAAAAATAAACTTTTAGAAGCTACCTTCCTAACTGTGCTTGATTATGGTGATATATTATACATGCATGCGGCCTCCTCTATCTTAACAAGCCTTGATTCGGTATACCATGCTTCACTACGTTTTATTACAAATGCAAAATCCCGTACTCATCATTGCATTCTATATGAGATGGTGGGTTGGACATCATTAGCTATACATAGAAAACGGCATTGGTACATTTGCATCTATAAAGCAATGCTAGGTAAACTTCCAGCTTATCTCTGTACTCTTCTTTGTCTTTGTTCTGGCAATTACCAGCTACGCTCTTCCAAGTGTTTGCTTTTTAACGTATAAGTTTGTACAGAACTGGGGAAAACAGCATTTTCATATTATGCACCCTGGGCATGGAATAATTTACAAAAAGATCTAAAACTAGATAAATTTGTGTCTATTGGTGAATTTAAAGGCATCATAAAGAGAGTGGTATTGGAAGCTTGTGATTGTTTTTGTTGAGAGGATGTTTAAATATTATTGTAATGTGTACTTCTTGTTTTTTTAAATTGTCTTGCTGTATGGCTGCTACCTTGGCCAGGTCTCTCTTGAAAAAGTCCTGGTTAACTTCCTGGTTAAATAAAGGTAAAATTAAAAAAAATGACAGCGACAACATGGTGGATGTAGTATGTCCAAATTTCCTTTATACCCATATTCATACTTTATAGAATGCATTTTTGTAACGGTTGTGAAGTTAGTTTAAAACTAAATGCGCTACCTACCTATTATACAGCATATGATTTTAATAGGTAGCTTCAGTGTTTTTTAATGAAATGATTAAGTGAATGAATCATTGGCCCACTCATACCTAACTGAATGAATCGGTATTGTTGAACAAATCGTTTGAGTGAATGAATCGTTGACCTGCAGAAAGGGGTCACTGAAAAATCCCCACCTCTGATAGATAGATGGACAGACAGACAATGTTTGAGTTAGTCTTCTTCTCTCACACACCCCAGGTTCCATTCACTGACCTGCTGGATGCTGCTAAATGTGTGGTCAAAGCTCTGTTCATCAGAGAGAAGTACATCTCTCTGTCCATGCAGAGCTTCTGTAGGACTACAGCACGTTACCTGCAGGAGCAGCTGGGTGGCCAACCTCTGGACCTCAACACCTTTGAGGAGATGCCGGAGTCTTCTGTATCTGCAAGTGGGTTGAACCAGAGTTTTCTGAAGGATGTATTCTGAGGATTAATGATTTATGTCCAAGAATCAGGACCTTATAGCTAAAATGTACAGTAAATGGAAAAGTTTAAGATTGTGTTTAAACTCAATAGAGAGAGACACACTGGATTGATCTGCGTTTAGAAGAGAGGAATAATTTACAGCTGAGTGATTTCATGGAATTGACTTAACTGTGGAAAGAACTGAAGGCATGTGCTTTGTTTGCAGATTCAGCATCTGTTTATGAACCACAAATGATCAGTTAAACCACAGAACAAACACATTTCTGCTCATTAAAGCGGTAGTTCACAAAAATGAAATTTTGTCATCATTACCACCACAATTACAAAATACAATAAAAGTAATTCATATGACTTGCGTGATGAACAGAATTAATAATTTTTTTGTTTGTTTAAAAGCGAAACACACTGGAATGAATAATTCACTGAAAATGCAACGCGAGTCTGTTCTCTGCAATCTCTGATGTAATCAGCCTGGTTTCCTTTATATTACGCGTTAAGGATTGTAAAATTAATCGCATGCGTTAACGCGTTAACGTTGACAGCCCAAAATATTTCACAATATCACTGGTTTTACTGTATTTTTGTTCAGATAAATGCAGCATTGGTGAGCATAAAAATGTTCTTTCAAAAACAAAAAAAATCTTACCAACCCCAAACTTTATTATATGTATAAGTATAATTTTTGTGTGATCAATATTCAGTTACAAAACAAAACAACATCTCCCACTCTTAGGCCTATATCATGTGTTCTCCACAGATGCAACGGTCCACCCTCCTGTCTCAGAAACCCACCCCTATGAGGTGCTAGACCCTGCCAACATGCCCCCAGGATTGGGCTACACTTGCAAGATGGTAGATGGTGTTGTTCATGTGTACACGCACAAGTAAGACTTCTTCCTGTTTACTCACTGACCATTGTAAACGTTATCAACAGTGATAATCTGTGTAATATCTTAGTTTAGCTAGAAATGGAGTGCCTAGAATGGAGTAGTTGTATTTTTTTATTTATTTAAAGGAGTTCACTTCCAGAATAAAAATTCCCTGATAATTTACTCACCCCCATGTCATCCAAGAAGTTCATGTCTTTCTTTCTTCAGTCGCAAAGAAATTAAGGTTTTTGAGGAAAACATTCCAGGATTTTTCGCCATATAATGGACTTCAATGGTGGCCAATGTGCTGAAGGTCCAAATTGCAGTTTCAGTGCAGCTTCAAAGGGCTCTAGTGATGTGACATTCGGCACAGAGGCTTCGAAACTTGTATCAAAAAAACCAAACATCTCACAGTGAAGCACTGTACCGGAGTTTGATTCATTTTGCTATAACCACGTGATCTGTGACGTCCGAAGTTTTCACACACAAAATCAGTGACTGCTTCGTATTCTGATTCAAATAACGCGAACCCCTTGTGCAGGTTTCAAGTGTCATTCACTTCTTTGATAAGAATAAATCATAATACAAATAAATATGTACATGTGTAGTTTTGTGCATGTTTAGTTTGTATTAATCCCCACTTCAAAAACACTTCAACTGACAATACCACAATAATCTTCACTTATTTTGATCATATATATGCCTACATGACCCATGCTTATTTTTTTCATAAATTTATTCACACTCATTCATACGACATTTTATTTTTTTATTGCTTTATATAGTTTTCATAGCACAAATGTATTAATTTTTATTAAACAGTCCAAAAATTGCGGACGCAAAGGCACCTTTTTCCACCTTTGACCACAAGATGTCATTAGTGTGCAACGTGAAAAGCTTCAAGTAATGAACCATTTTATGATACAGTTGAGGGGAAAGCCTCGGTGCTTCGCAAAGCTTCATTTCACGATCGCTACTTTACACGATCCCAGCTCAGAAATAATTATAATCTAGAGATGGGGCATTTTCTTAAAAAATAAAAATAAAAAGTTAAATACATTTTAATCACAAATGCTCATCTTGCACTAGCTCGACTCCATGCATTACGTAGGTCACGCGTGACGTAGGCGGAAGTACCGACCCAGCGTTTACAAAGCAAATGTGCAAAGAAAGTCAAATGCTCTTCACTAAAAAAAGGTAAAACAGCGATGTCGGGACGATTTTGAAGTTGGAGGACAAAATGAGATGGAGTTTTTCACCCTACCCTTCCTTTTTGAACCGGAGTACACAGACAAAGAGCTAACCGTGCGTGACCTTCCGTGATTACACAATGTGCGAATTTGCGGATGCGCATCATGGAGCTAGTGCAAGATGAGCATTTGTAGTTAAAATGTATATACATTTTTATTTTATTTATTTATTTATTTTAGAAAATGACCGATTGTTTCGCTAGATAAGACACTTCTTCCTCGGCTGGGATCGTTTAGAGCCCTTTGAAGCTGCACTGAAACTTTGGACCTTTAAAGTCCATAATATGGAGAAAAATCCTGGAATGCTTTCCTCAGAAACCTTAAAGAAAGACATGAAAATCTTGGATGACATGGGGGTGGTGAGTAAATTATCAGGAAATGTTTGTTCTGGTAGTGAACTAATCCTTAAACATTTTGTCTTTTTTGTCTTTTTGTTTGGTCATAATGTACATCAGTTCCTCAGAGCTGGACTTGCCGTACCCAGACCTGCAGGAATACATAGCTGATATGAACATGATGATGGCACTCATCATTAACGGGCCAGTGTAAGTTGTACTGAACACTGTGAGGTTTGTTTCCATTCTGATGCAGCAGTATCACGAAAAGATGATCAAATTACTGATTGAAACAGCTCATTCTGTAAATGTGAGCTGATCCCTGAGTGGGCTCCTTTGCTTGATTGAAATCAATATGTACTGACCTCAGTTTGAACCTGTGATTGAAATGTAAAAAAAAATGAACCTGTCCTCACTGTGATAAAGACCTGTCATTAATTTGTAATCTGAATAATGTCACAAAGATGAAGAGGTGGCAAAGTCTAAATCTAACCCCAAAAATAGCCAGAACTGGTCTGATCTGCCTTAGGTTTAGCATACAGATTCCCGATTGTATATTTTTCACACAGGAAATCCTTTTGCTATCGCCGGCTGCAGTACCTCAGCTCCAAGTTCCAGATGCACATTCTCTTAAATGAGATGAAAGAGTTGGCAGCACAGAAGAAAGTCCCACACCGTGATTTCTACAACATCAGGAAGGTCCGCTATTCAACGGCATGAACACACAAACATTTTGTTGAAGTTCATTAAATTTATTAGTGGTTGTCACAGGAAAAATCTGATTATTTGATTAATCATTGCTGCTCACTTGTGATGTGATTATCACTATTGAACTTTGACATCTTGACCTTCAGGTGGACACACATATCCATGCTTCATCCTGCATGAATCAGAAGCACCTGCTGCGCTTTATTAAAAGAGCCATGAAGAAATATCCAGGTGAAATCGTCCATGTAGAACAAGGCCGAGGACAGACTCTATCAGAGGTGTTTGAGAGCATGAACCTGACGGCCTTTGACCTCAGCGTAGACACTCTGGATATGCATGCGGTAAGAACTGTAGAGGTACTTATACACATGCCATCAGTGGTTAGAAAAAATACTTATACCATCACTAGCAATTAGACATAATAATCAATAATAATAATAATAGAAACTGAATATACACTACAGTTGTGAATACACTACTGTTAAAATGTTTGGGGCTTACAGATTTTTATATTTTTGAAAGAGGTCTCTTATGTTCACCAAGATTTAATCAAAACTACCGTAAAAACAGTAATATTGTGAAATATAATTGTGAAATATTGTAATTATTATATTATTAAAATTTTATTCCTGTGATTGCAAAGCTAAATTTTCAGCAGTCATTGCTCATTAGTCTTCAGTGTCACATGATCTTTTAGAAATCATGCTAATATGCTGATTTGGTGCTTAAGAAACATTTTTGTTGTGAATGTTGAAAACAGTTGAAATGAAAATATTACACTTTTTTTCAGGATTCTTTGTTGAATAGAAAGTTCAAAAGAACAGCATTGATTTAAAATAGAAATATTTCAAAACATCATAAATGTCTTTGCTGTCACTTTTTGTCCAATTAATGTGTCATTGTTGAATAAAAGTAGGCTATTCATTTCTTAAAAGACTTACTGACCACAAACTTTTGAATGGTAGTGCTTAATATGTTATATCTGGTTGACTTAACAATTATTCATTAAAACCTAATAAAGTGACTATTAACAAAAATATGAACATAAAAGAACAGAAAACTGAAATAACACAGAACCATGAAATAGTTTTAAAAGAACTTAAAATAAAGTTAACTTGAAGTTGTTTCACACAGTAGATGCCAAGTCAAATATTTAGTGGGAGTTTCAAACTTAATGAGTTTGCGTGGGATGTAGGTCACTCTCACTAAAAATATGTTGCACAGAGTTGCAGATGCAGTCGCACAAGCTTCATTGGTTTACACTTAAATGACCTGTTGTTCTCTACTGAATGCAAACTGTGACTCTAAATGAATGCTGTACAAAGTTGCACACAGTTTAATGGGTCCCTAATCCACGTGAATTAAAATCTTTACTAAATGAGATTCTTCTCTAAATTGTACATGGAAATAATTGGGCAACATTGAAGAAGTAGTTTTGGAAAGCAGGATGAGGGGGGGGAAAGCTTTTTTTAAATGATAAAAATATTCTCTCTTTCCTGTAGGACCGTAACACGTTCCACCGCTTTGATAAATTCAATTCCAAATACAACCCAATTGGAGAGTCCATCCTCCGAGAAATCTTTATCAAGACTGACAACCATATTGAGGGGAAATACTTCGGGCACATAATCAAGGTATCTGTTCCTTATAATCTTTTGAGGTTAACAACATAAATTGAGGATGAATTCAGTTTCATATGGTAAAGTGTGCCCCCTGTTGATAGTTGTATGTTGGTGCATTTCAGGAGGTGATGGCAGACCTGGAGGAGAGCAAATATCAGAATGTGGAGCTGAGACTCTCCATCTACGGCCGCTCACGAGATGAATGGGATAAACTGGCTCAGTGGGCCGTCAAACACAAAGTTTATTCAGATAATGTGCGCTGGCTGGTGCAGGTGCCCCGGTTATTGTGAGTACTGAACATTAAGAAGTATCGGTATAAAGTGGCAGTATTTTATCTGATGCCTACAGTAGGCCTAAATCTCTGATAAAATAAAAAAATACAAATATTTACTCTTGTCTAAAAGTTTGGGGTCAATACGATTTTTTTTATGTTTTTGGAAGAAGTGTCTTATGTTCACCAAGGCTGCATTTATTTGATCCAAAGTACAGTAAAAACAGTAGTATTGTGAACGATTATTAAAATTGTAAATAACTGTTTTCTATTTAAATGTATTTTAAAAAGTAATTTGTTCCTGTGATGGCAAAGTTGAATTGTCAGCAGTCATTATTCCAGTCTTCAGTGTCACATGATCCTTCAGAAATCATTCTAATATGCTGATTTGATGTTCAAGAAACATTTCTTATTGTTAACAATGTTGTAAACTGTTGTGCTACTTAATAGTTATGTGGAAACCTTGATATTTATTTTCCACTTTTTATCAAAGTGTCCTTGCTGAATAAAGCTATTTTTCTTAAAAAAATATCTTACAGACCCCAAACATTTGAACAGTGGTGTATATTATTATTACATTGAAAAGCACCTAAATAAGTGGTCTTATTTCCAAATGTTTTTTTCACTGCACATAAAATATACATTTCAGACTAAATTAAAAACATCACTAAGATAACAGGTAACAGGCTGTTCCCTTCCTTTACAGCGATGTGTACCACACCAAAAAGCAGCTATCTAACTTCCAGGAGATGCTAGAGAACATTTTTATGCCTCTGTTTGAGGTCACTGTGAATCCCAGCAGCCACCCACAGCTGCATCTCTTTCTGCAACATGTGAGTGAACTTTTAGTAATGTACAGTAGTAAAGCTTGAGTGTACAATTATATGTAAATGTGCTTCTGTGGAGCAGAAGCATACATTGCGTTTGCATTTGATTTTACACTTACTACCTTTTTCTTTAGAAGACAAGGGGTGGCGGTAGTGGTTAATGATCTGGCCTAGTAACCCAAAGATTCAACCCCTGGCACATACATTTATTATTGTCCCTATAAAAAGGCTGTAAGTTGCCTCTTAAGTTGCTTGTAAGAAAGTGTCTGTCATTTAAAGTTTAATTTCAGTGGTTAAATCAACGGTCCCATTTTACTCCACAAAATAAAACTATCACTATTCACCCTGTGTATAAATAAAATCAGATTATCAACAAGTATGATCACAGTTTCATTGTATTGTGAGATTGAATGTTGATGTGCCCTTCAGGTTATGGGGTTTGATAGTGTGGATGATGAGTCAAAACCTGAGCATCGCATCTTTAACCTGGACAGTCCAAAACCTGTGAACTGGACGGAGGAGGACAATCCTCCATACTCGTATTATCTGTACTATATGTATGCGAATATGACTGTACTCAACCACCTGCGCAGGTATTTGATGCACCTAAGTGCATATTTTGTTTACCACAATACAGTATATTAATTAAGGTAAAAATGTATTTTATACCAATTAAAATTGAGGTTTTTTTTTTTTTTTTTTTTTTGAAAGATGGATT